AAGCTTCCACCAAAAGTGAGAGTCTTCGTGTGGAACTGGGCAAGTAATATAATACCTATTGGAATGAATCTGACAGAGCATATACCAGAAGTGAATTCCCCTTTTACAAAAGAAAACATAACAAGAATCTGGTGAAGCATATACCAAAAGGGAATGAATTTGGCAAAGCATACACCAGAAGCCAGACACATGAACATATACCAAGAGATTGTGACTAGGAGGGGTGAATCTAGAGACCTAGCTTTCTAAGAAAACTGTTTGAAGTGGGGGAAGTTCGTAGTTGTGAAGCTTGGTTGTGTGAGCTACTGGATAAAGCTCCGGAGGAAGAGCTATATGAATTCCTAATCGCAGTATGATTTCTTTGGAAGTAATGCAACAATCATTAATACAACAATAAAAAACATAAAGATTGGGAGATGATTGAGAGGTCCTAGAATTACCTGATGAGGTATTGAAAGAATCATGAGCCAGACTAGACGCTTAAGATGTTCAATCGGAGTTCCATATGGAAGAGATCGACGACGAAAGATATAAAGCGAATGTTAATGCGAGTGTATCGAAGGAAGGAGGGACGGAGTTTGGTTTGGTGGTGCATGATGCAGAAGGGAGGTTTGTGATGGCAGCTGTTAAGCGGGTGCTGGTAATATGGAATCCAGAAATGCCTAAGGTTGAAGCTTTTCTCTGGGGTTTGAATTTAAAGCAACAATACCATTTCTACCCTTTGACTATGGGAACGGATTGCCAAAGACTTATCTATAAATTGAAGAAGGAGGAGATCAGATCACTAATTGGAGATTGGGACAATCTGTGATGAGGTTAGGGATTTGGCTAGAGGAAAAGTGATGGAATGGAGGTTTTGGCAAAATGGAGGCAATGTGGAAGCACATAATGATGTGATAATGGGTTGTGACCCAAAACCATTTCCATTGATGTTCAAAGAAGAAACCAAGTCAAGGGAAGAAGAAGCTGGAAATTTGGCTAAGTCTGGCTAACAGTCCGTGATACGTACTTTGGAGGCTTACTCGTTTTTATGGGAGACATTCGAGGGAAGTTAGGAGTTGAAAATGAAAGTACAAGTCTTGATAAAAATCGTGAAGGTGTCGATGAGAAGATCAAAGCTTCCTGGGCACCAAACGAGCAACCAGAAGATCGTATGGTGACCAATCAAAATTCACGGCCAGGAAGCCAATTCCACGCTCGTGGAATTCAAGTTTAGATAGTGGATTATGATTAGGAAAATTCCAGGCCCAAGACACCAAAATCCACGACCGTGGAATTCAAGGAGGAGACCGTGGAATTTGACCTGACAAGTTTTGGTACCTTTTTCGTTTAGGATTCTTTTTCCTTTTTGGTATTTTTATTAGGTTTATTTTTCCAAACCTATTTAAAGGGTTGTAAACACAAATTTAGAGATAGAGGGCTTTGTTGAATAAAGATTAACTCTGAGGAGTTTACCCCATAGAGCATGAGTGCTTATGGGTTATTGTCTTAGCTATCGGTGGATTCCATAGCTATTATAAGATCCTTGTTCGAGTTTTTCTGTGGAGGATTCCAGAAGAGCCTGGCAAGACTCTTATCAGTCAATTGATACACTTGATTGTGGCGAGTATCTATCTCCACATATTCCTTTATTTTTATGTTCGTTTGACGGCCGATTCGAGTTATCCAAGCTTGACTTGAAGCTGCACGACTTTGACAAAAAAACCTAAGCTTTGACGAGCTCAGGATCTTATCAAGTGGTATCAGAGCCCCATTCAAACTCAACAGTGATTTGAGGTATTTTATTTTTGTTTTATTGTTCACGAAAATATTTTGTGATTGCGGTACTGTTCACGTGAAAAAGTGATTTTTTTTATTAGCCACAAAGTTGAACGTGGATTGAACGAGATAAAAATAGATATCTTGGATTTTGGTTTGTGTATTTCTGGTTCAAATCAGCGGCAAGGAGAAGAAGATTACAAGCTTTCTGCAAGCTTAGGCAATGACAGAAGATTTAGAGCAAGGTAATTTCTTCTATACTCGTTGTTTGATTAAAGAGAAGTTGAGTTCTGTGCTGGTAGATGAAGGGATCACATCAAATTTGATCAACGCAAGAAAAATAGAGAATTTGAGTCTACCAATGCATTTCCATCTCGTTCCATATACTCTGCGACTTCCTAGCGAACAGATTCCGAGCTTCGTGGTTACAAAGGTTCCTGTAAAATTCGCCATTGGACGCTACGAAGACGAGGTCTTGTGCGACGTGGTGTACATGCTTAGGAATCACTTTGTGCTGGGACAAACCTGGTTCCAAGATCGTGGAGTTCATTTGGTCAGCCAAAGATCCAAAAGCTTCCGATTGAAGCATTAAAAGAAGGTATTCGTTTTGAAGCCTTTATCTCTGGAGGAAGTTGTTGATGATTTGAAGGCTTTGCAACGATTACAACGAAAGTATGAAGAAAAGAAGATAGCCAAATTCTCGCTTCTATTCACAACAAGCACAAGAACAACAACTAGCACACAAGAGGTTGTAGAAGGAAGGACGCAACTGCCACAAGCTTATGAGGAGGAGCAGAAGCTTGAGGAAGCAAGAACACTTCCGGATCAGGAGGAAACCGAAGAAAAGAATCCATCTACCAACTCCCCAGAATCAGAAGGAGGTAGAAGAAGTTGAAGTAGAGGAAAGTGGTGAAGCTGAAGTGGTTGAGATAGAACAAATTTAATCAAGCTATCACAATCCTTTTTATTTTGACTCTGATAAGGTTTTGAGGTGTATAAGTCTGCAAGCTTTGAGGACAAAGCTTTTTGAAGGGGGAGGGACTGAACTGATCATGGGGTGTACCCAAAACCATTTCCATTGATGTTCAAAGAAAAAACCAAATCAAGGGAAGAAGAAGCTGGAAATTTGGCTAAGTATGGGAAGCAGTCTTTGATACTTACTTTGGAGGCTTACTCGTTTTGTTACAGACAAATCATACTACAAATATTTCTAAAGCACATCATAAACCTCTTAATGCATACAAAAAGCACGATAAATCAAACCAGAAAAGGCATACCTGAAACTGGGGAAAGTATAACATAAACATGAGATATCAAAACATACCATAAACACTATAAACATACCACAAGCAAACTAGAAACAAGAGAAAGCAAACAACAATCTCCTTAGCATACAAAAAATACCATAAAGCATACTCCAAATATTTATAAAGTACATCACAAACCTCCTAATCCATAGTACAAATATCTCGAAGCAAACCAGAAACATCATAAAGCATACCACAAATATTTATAAAGCACACCAGAAACCTCTGAATGCACACCAGAAACACGATAAAGCAAATCACAAAAGGCAGACAAAAAAATGAGAAAGTAAACCAAAAATCTCATTATGCATACTACAAAATTATGTGACTATTGACTGGACTCTGAAGACCGTTGACCAAACTTTGACGGGCGATGATCAAACTCCTACGATTGGTTTTTTGGCCGCGGTAGTGATGACAGAAATATCCGTAATCATGGATATCCACTCGAATCCGACCTAACTGGGTAGGGTAAAACCCGAATCTGAAGGATTTTTTTGGGTACGGGTAAAATATGAACCCGAATATTATGGGTAATGGGTGGCTATGGTTTTCTCACTATCCAACCTGAACCCACCCGATTATACTCATGCATACGTATTGTTTTTCGAAATGATCTTTGTTTTTCTCAACATGTTTTATTTAGCATACAAATATAATATTTTCAAGAAATTGTGTTGTTTGAAATTAATTTTTTTCATTCTAGTGAATAGTCATACTTTTCCACTTATATAATGTGAATGTACGTGTAAATGTTAATATGTTGGTTGGAATTACAAAGAGAAATTATTACCCATGGATAACCATGAATACCTGAAACCCGAACGGATATGAGTATTGTTTTGATTTTCTACTCGATTCTTATATGGGTATGGCTAAAACCCGAACTACTTTGGGTAGCGTAGTGAATATGCACTATTTGCACTTGACCCGACCTGTTGCCATCCCTAGGCTACGGTGTTAGAATTCCAGCGACATTAAGCATATTTAAACCACTGTGAGTATATTCTTGCGAAATTGAGTATATTCCGACGACATTAAGTATATTCTATAAAAAATATTTTTAATTTTCTACTCTTAATTTCTATGTTATTACTGTTAGTTTAAATATAATATTCAAAATGACTATTATAGCTATTTATAAATTTAGTCAACCTAACTAATAAAAAAATAATCACAATCCTAGTTTTCTGATTGGGTACTAATGTTATTACCCTAAGAATAATAGAATTTTCTATTGATTGGGTAGTAATGTTATCACCCTAAAGCTGTCGCAACAGGAAGGTTTGAGAGTTGCAGATCCCAGGTTCGATGCAAGTGAGGTTCGTTGGTGTTCCCGGAAGTACGTGGTTTTTGAGGGCGAAGTCTCATTGGAGTCGAATTGATTACAGGTGGCCCCAAAAATTAATAGGCTCCACTGTCAACAAATGTCACGTGGGGCTGACGAATCCAGTGTAATAAAAAAAAGAAGGGTAATGTCTATTTTTTATCCAAACTTTTTTTCAGCTCTTTTATATTATCCAAACCTATTAAAATGCTATTAATTAGTCAAATATTTCGTAATGCATCAAAATATTAGCCATTTTTACGCTATTGTTAGTAATTTTGTAACTTTTTTTTATTTAAAAATTAAATTACTAAAATTTTGGAATGTTTGAATTTCAAGTGTCTCTTCCAAGGCAGTATCATGTTTCCAAGTCAATATTACAAACAAAATTGCTAACTGAAAATTAAAATTTGACTAATTATTAGTATTACGATAGGTTTGATTAATAAAAAAAAATTAAATTTTTTTGGCTAATAAATAGGGATTATGTTATCACTCCAAAAACTATTTATCAGCCAGGCAGAGGCAAGGCACGTAATGGGATGGCACGTGCGAGGGTTTATCACTTCTTCTTTTAACCGTCTGAGTTGAGGATTGCGCAAACTACCACAAAAGATATTTTTATTCCTCTCTAATCCTGGAAAAAACGTACTCCTGGGAGGAAGGGAGCCGGCCATTTCACTCTTCCCGCTCCAAGCTGCTGCGGCTTCCCAAATCCCTCTCTAAAACCCTGCTACACTCTCTCGACTCCAAAAGGGCTTTTGGATTGGCAGCCCTTTCTGGGTTTCCCGGCAGCTTGGAACCCAAATGCATTTCGAGTTTTTGGGGAGTTCTTCTCCCTCCTCTTCCTTGAACTCTGTTACCTCTCTCAAACCAAATATGGCCGCTTTTAGCTTTATAGCTCCGCCGCTGTGCCCTTACACTCCCTTCCGCCGGCCGGGTCTTGGCAATCACTCGGTTTCTTGCTGTATTGGTTCCCCGACGAAGATAGGTAGCCTCAATTTCCAACTGCCGCCCACCTGTTTGTTCATTTTCCTCTCAGAAAATATCTGTACTTAGAGGATGACGGCGATAACGGAATTGAGGAAATAAGAATAAAGTTTGAGTTTTTATCGCGGTGTTAACTTTAAGTTATGCTTTACAACTATTCCAGACTTTGGTGAACGGTAACATGGTAGTCTTGCTGTTGAGATGTTTATGGGAAACTGATACTATTGAGTATTGAGTTAACTAATTGGTTTGATGGCACCCTTGTTGCCTGGCCCGGAGACCGCTTTGGCTGTAATGAATGCAAGTTTCTTTCTGCAGTTGCAACTGGAATACTTAAGTTTGAATGAGTTGTCCTGCTATAACCTTCCGGGTCGTAAGCATCTTTGTGATCCTTTCTCGCTGTAGTTGCTATTCCGTCACCCTGTTTCATGTAGGGAATGTTGTGACTAGTAACGTTAGTGTCTATGGTGGAAGCTGGGCATTCCCTTTCCTTGCATATCTTGGTTATTCCCTTGTTTTCTGTTGTTCTAGGCAGCCGTGTGTCCAAGGCACCACGCAAAAGATCGAGGAGAACAGAAGGGGCAGGGAAAAGTATGGAAGACTCAGTTCAACGCAAAATGGAACAGTTCTATGAAGGATCTGATGGTCCACCACTACGTATTGTTCCGATTGGTGGACTGGGTGAGATTGGAATGAATTGCATGCTAGTTGGGAATTACGACCGCTATATTCTAATTGACGCTGGTGTTATGTTCCCTGAGTAAGCATTGGTCATCTAAGCTCCCAAGTTATTGTTGATGGCATTCACTGCATTGTTTCTGCCGGCAAATGCATTGTCATGGAAGGGGAAATTAATTTCAAAGAAAAAATCACAGCTTCTTTTATATTTTTTTTTTCTTAAATAAAAAAAGTTCAACGTAATGGTTATATTCAGTCAAGTTGAGTACAAAGCTCTTACCTAAGTGTCTCATGAATTGAATTTTCTTTCTCATGCATCCTGAATAGTAATGGTGCTTGACATCTTCATGTGCTCTACAATATGACCTGTTACAGCCACGATGAGCTTGGAGTTCAAAAGATTTTACCAGACACCACTTTCATAAAAAAATGGAGCCACAAAATTGAAGCAGTTGTGATAACACATGGGCATGAAGATCACATCGGTGCATTGCCATGGGTAAAGTTTCTTTCTACTACTTGACACCTCTAGATTAATATTCTTTCCCCAGCCTGTAACTCTATATTACACGCCAGTTTCTCTATTGTGCTGTACTTTGGGATTTCGGATTTCCTGTTTAATCATTCCTTTTGTGTAAATATATAGTGTGGAAGAGATCAAGATGCAATGGTGGTTTAGAGAAATAACCATACTTTTCCTCTCATTGATGTCCACTGATGAAGCAGTGACCATTTAAATGCTGTAAAACTTGTTAGATGACAACTTTCGATGTAATGTGAGGAAACTTTAATGTCAAAATGCCTTATTAAGTGCTTGTGAATGTGAATGACAACTTTTGATGCAATGATATATAAGTGCTTCTTACAAGGAGAAAAACCTTGTAAAGTCATGAATCCGAGTTCGCTAGGGTTGATCTGCAATTATCACAGTCCATTTTGACTTAGTGGATTCATCTGTAGCGCATTCATTATTGCTCTGACTCGAAATATTTGACTCTATATCTAAAACTTGTAGCTTTCCGTTAGCAGCTTCAGCTGCCACAGGACTCCTTAATGAAGTTATTTTCCCCTGAAATTTTCGCTCTTGTTCGAGCAGGTGATACCAGCTTTGGATTCACATACCCCAATATATGCATCATCCTTTACAATGGAGGTAATTGATGTGGATAATTATATGATCATTTTGCTGTCTTTGGGTCATATCCCGTTGACGTGATTTATTCATCCTTTAACAAAGAGATGGTGTCGAAAATGGTTTCTTTCTTATTATTCCCTGCTCTCTTCAGCAACTAGTGTGTCTGGAAGAATTATTGACTGTTGTCAGCAAGTCCTTATGTTCTTTTGCTTATAGCACACAGTAGCTTTTCTTATCCACATGAGTGTCTGTGACACAACAGAGGAATCTTGATTTATTCTAAGTAATGCTCAAGCTGGTAACACAGTCTTTCATGCTCTTTCAGCTTATCAAAAAGCGTCTGAAGGAGCATGGAATCTTTCTTCCATCCAGACTAAAAGTTTTCAGAACAAGGAGGAGATTTACTGCTGGGCCTTTTGAAATAGAGCCTATTACCGTTACCCACTCAATTCCTGATTGTAGTGGCCTCATTCTTCGTTGCTCTGATGGTATAATACTTCATACAGGCGATTGGAAGGTAAGCTCATTTACTGATTCATCTTCCCCACTTCATTACTTGGCTTCATGGAAGCATAAAGAACTACGTTTTGCAGATTGATGAATCACCATTGGATGGCAAACCATTTGATCGTGAAGCTCTTGAAGAACTCTCGAAGGAAGGAGTGACTTTGGTTAGTCTTTCCTTTGCTCAAGATGTGTTTGTGTTGGGTTAAAATATTCCTTCAGTTATTCAATGGGCTTAAAGGGTTGACTTCATGGAGAATGAACTTTTGAACTACTTAATCTCTTTGAGACAGAAGTGCCATCTTTTCCATTTTCTGTCTGGCTGTATTTCTTGTCTCAAGTCTAGTTTTTACCTTATGTAACGTATATGGCTTTAAGTGCTTAATGTGATGGCTATAGTAGTGTTTTGTTGCTCTGATATGTATTTACTAAGGTGTTAATGACCTACGCTATCAACGGAGATTTGACTTAATCTCTTTGAGACAGAAGTGCCATATTTTCCATTTTCTGTCTGCCTGTATTTCTTGTCTCAAGTCTAGTTGTTACCTTATGTAACATATATGGCTTTAAGTGCTTAATGTGATGGCTATAGTAGTGTTTTGTTGCTCTGATATGTATGTACTAAGGTGTTAATGACCTACGCTATCAACGGAGATTTGACTTGGTATATGTTGTTCAGATGATGAGTGATTCAACAAATGTGCTTTCCCCGGGAAGGACAATGAGTGAAACCGTTGTAGCAGATTCACTGTTGAGACGTATTTCATCTGCTAAAGGAAGGGTTATCACTACTCAGTTCGCATCGAATATTTTTCGACTGGGAAGTGTAAAAGCTGCTGCTGATTTGACTGGCAGAAAACTTGTACGTTCTCATGGTTTCACTTCTTTCCTATACTCTGGTAAGTATGCAACCCTAATTCTTAAACTTGGTTCATTTTCTAGGTCTTTGTTGGCATGTCCTTAAGGACTTATTTGGATGCCGCTTGGAAGGATGGAAAGGCACCAATTGATCCATCCACTCTGGTACTAGAAGCTTTATTCCTTGTTTGGTCTTTTTTCCATGTATTGTGTTGATGGAAGATCCCTGTTGTACTCGGAATGTTTTAAGCCTTAATGCTGCAGAGTTTATAGTAACCTTTGCTCTATGCTTCTCGAACTTCCCAGGTGAAAGTAGAAGATATAGATGGATATGCTCCCAAGGATTTACTGATTGTTACAACTGGATCACAAGTAACTGTTCTCTCAGAATTTGCATTCTGTTCATTCCTGACATATTTTCTGTTTTCATCTACTCTAACAATATCAATTGCTTGTATTGTATCAGGCAGAACCACGTGCTGCATTAAATCTTGCTTCATATGGAGGCAGCCATGCTTTGAAACTAAATAAGGAAGATATAATACTTTATTCAGCTAAGGTAAGATAACGTCATGCATAAAATATTTGCTCATGGTTTCCTTATCTGGAACTTTGGGGTTTTCAGTCATTTGTTTAAGAATAATGCATGGTTGCTTTTGAGGTTGTTATTATGGGAACTCTTTTGAGGTGTATCGGTGCTGCATTTCTTTTCAGGTAATCCCTGGTAACGAATCCAGAGTAATGAAAATGATGAATCGCATATCAGAAATCGGGTCAACCATAGTAATGGGTAGAAATGAGCTATTGCATACCTCTGGCCATGGGTATCGTGGAGAGCTGGTTAGTATCTGACATTTCTACTGAGTAACCTTTACTGTGATATTGAAGTCTAATTTTGCTTGTTCAGTTTATTTAAAACCGAATGTCCCTCCAGTTTGTGTTACTCTAACAAAAAATTGGTTTTCTATGTTGCTTTTGTTTCTTCAGGAGGAGGTACTTAAAATAGTAAAACCACAGCATTTTCTCCCCATACATGGAGAACTCTTGTTCTTGAAAGAGCATGAATTGCTTGGAAAGTCGACTGGAGTTCACCATACCACTGTGAGTCAGTTCTTCCTCCTGTATTGTTTTCATGCAGTGCTTATTGGCTTGATTTAATAAAAAAATGCACATCGTGCTTTATGGAAATCAAATGATACATGATTTGCTTTCCCTAAATGGCTTTTGGGAAAATAAAATAAAAACTGCCGTAGAGAAGATTGCTGCATTTCAAACGATTGTTTCGGTACCTAAAAGCCATTTTGGCTATTGTTTATTATATAGCTATGTGATAAACCTCATCAGATCATTGGATGATTATCTGATGCTATCATCAGCAAGGACTTCTTCTTCTCCTAGGTTCTTATAATTATGTTCTTCCACCTCCATCTCTGTTGTTTAGAATGAAAAATATCCCAGTATCTTTCAACAAATCTCTTGATAAATGCGTGGTCTAGGTAGCACGTTTTCTTAATCGATTTAAAAAGTTGATTCTTGTTCTCTGTGCTGAATTTTCCATTGTGTAGAAGTAGAATTGTGCTCCATCTACGTACGTAATTTCAGTTTTCTATTATGTTCGTTGGAGAATTTGTGATTACGTGCCTCATTGGATAAATTATGATATATCTTTCCTTGTGTCTTCTGTTAGGTTATAAAAAATGGAGAGATGCTCGGGGTATCACACTTGAGAAACAGAAGAGTGCTATCTAATGGCTTTATATCTCTTGGAAAGGAGAATTTGCAGGTTGGCCTCAGTTGAATCACTTTCCCTTTTTCTCTTATACGGAACAATTGACATCTTGATCCTTGACTTCTTGATGATTCATTGGTTCGGAGGTTTTCCCGCTAACGGCCAATAAATTTTGCAGCTGATGTATAGTGATGGTGATAAAGCATTCGGCACATCAACTGAGCTCTGTGTTGATGAGAGGCTAAGAATCGCCACGGATGGAATTATAGTGGTCAGGTAGATATTTGAATTCCAACTGCAGAGTAATATAAGAATGTCTTTTCTTATAATTTTAATTCATTTGTTTCCCTATTTTGCCAGTATGGAAATCTTACGACCTCAGGGCGTAGATGGTGTCAGCGAAAGTAATAACATAAAGGGGAAAATAAGAATCACAACACGGTGCTTGTGGCTGGACAAAGGGAAGCTTTTAGATGCACTCCACAAAGCTGCCCATGCTGCCCTTTCGAGTTGTCCTGTTAACTGTCCTCTAGCACACATGGAAAGAATCGTTTCTGAGGTACTAAGGAAGATGGTGAGAAAGTACAGCGGGAAAAGGCCTGAGGTAATTGTTATTGCCATGGAAAACCCAGCAGGGGTTCTTTCTGAAGAGTTGTCTGCAAAGTTAGCTGGTAAGTCATCGCAAATGGGTTTCGGGATATCAGCATTGAGAAAGGTAATTGACAGACATCCCAAAAGAGACAAGAAGGAGAGACAAACCGAAGATGAAAATGGCTATGGTCATTTGGAAGACACAGGGCGAGAGCAGTTGGAAGGTAATTGTTTTCTCTGTCCCTACATATGTGTTTGTTTGTGTACACCGACTTCTCATGCACAAGTTATTTCGATTGAATTTCGTGACACCTCACTTATTGGTAATCATGTAGTTGATGGAAGGCTACTACCTGAAGAAGATGGCACTTCTTCAACTTCGAGCTCAATCGAGAGCCTTGAGAGTGCAGCCGAGGATGGAGATGATTTTTGGCGTTCATTTATGTCATCATCACCTGACACTGTTGATGACATGGTCAACAGAAATAAAAAACCTGTGGTTCGACAGCAAGATAATCTGAGAGTGGCTAAAGAGGACAGCGGTAATGATGATAGTGAAGATGACTCTGATGACGATGATCAGAAAAACAGAAGAAAACCATCCTCCTCCAAGTCTATGAAGCGAAATAAGTGGAAACACGATGAGATCACGAAACTAATCGAAATGAGAGGGAACTTGCATGCTAAGTTTCAAACTGTAAAGGGAAGAATGGCTCTGTGGGAAGAGATATCCAATGGCTTGATGGTGGAAGGGATCGACCGGAGTCCGGGTCAATGCAAATCACTGTGGGCATCTCTCGTTCAAAAATATGAGGTTTTGGCTTTTTTTTCTTCTTCATTTTGTTGTTTCTCTTTTCCGTTGCAGTTACAGTTTGAACTTTGAACCACCATTATCGTCACCACTGCCTGCTGCTATTTATTATTGTCAACAGGAAAGCAAAAGCGAGTCGAGTAGAAAAGGATGGCCATATTTTGAACAAGTAGACGACATTCTGTCTGATCATGAGCCAACCGCCACTGCCACGAAATGATTGATCCATTGAGGGGACTTTGCAACCTCTGCTGGAGGAGAGTGAAGCCTAGACAACTATGGAGATGTCGCTACATCAGTGTGTGTAGTCCAAGCATGCATCAGGAGGGAATTGTTCACTCTACATGAGAAAGATACAGAAGAGAGTCGGCCATCTCTTGTAGCGGTTGACAGTTTTTTTATGGGGGGTGGGGTGGGGAAGAGAGATGGTGACAAGGGAATATCGTAGGTAGAAACTATGCATGGAAGCAGAAAGAGTTACGGAAGTCTTGTGTCCCCCCTGTACGAGAGTTAATTTACAAATTAGCTGAAAAGTCTGCTCTGAAAATCATGGGTTTTTGGGGAGCGTATGATCTTTTCCTTATCCTCGGCTTTGCGGAGAGCGGATCCCATGAGCCATGACTAAGGGGTCCTTAGTCACTTGACTAAGCCCCTTCTAGCCATTAGATCTGGACACTTCAATCCAATGATTAAAAAGTGGGAAAAGCTATTTAATTAATGATATGTGTAGTTTGGGTATTATGGAAAATTAAAAAAATATACAAATCGGATTTACAATCAGTACAAACCATACAAACATACGAACAGTACAAACTAGAGCGACAAAACATACAAACAGATTTACAAACATTACAAACGTATGAACTGTACAAACAATACAAACTAGACTGACAAACAATACAAACCATACAAAAAGAAAAAACAATCGGGTTGACTTTGGAGGCTCCATCCCTATATAGAGGGGCTCTTTCCCAAAGTCAACCCGGGTGTTTTTTAGACATACAAACAGTACGAACATGATGGACAAAAATGACAAACTAGACCGACAATTCATACGAACGGGAAAAAACACCCGGGTTGACTTTGGAGGCTCCATCCCTATATAGAGGGGCTCATTCCCAAAGTCAACCTGAGTGTTTTTTAGACATACAAACAGTACGAACATGGTGGACAAAAATGACAAACTAGACCGACAATCCATACGAACGGGGAAAAACACCCGGGTTGACTTTGGAGGCTCCATCCTTATATAGAGAAGTTTCATCCAAAAGTCAACCAGGTTGTTTTTTAGACATAAAAAACATTACAAACATGGTTGACAAAAATGATAAACATGGTGCACAAAAATAACAAAGTTTACAAATATTACAAAAAAAAAACCGACAAACATTACAAAATAACAAAGCGTACAAACATTACAAAATAACCCGACAAACAGTACAAAGCATACTAACCGTACAAAATGTCACTAAAAATGACAAACAATACAAACACCTCTCTCGGGAAACATATCCCCAGGAAAATGGCAATTCCCATCCCCACGAAAGCTCTCTGTTGGGATATAAATCCCCCTCTGGTGGGAATAAAAATCCCCGGGAGAGGACCACGCCGCCGGATCGCTTTGCCATGCCGCCGGAGTCGTGCTGCCGCCGCCGGACTCGCACTGCCACGTCGACGGAAGAATTCCCAAAAAGGACGGGCTAAGATCAGGTGACTAAGGGGGGGTCCCTTAGTCACATGACTAAGTCAATCTAAGCCATTGAAGATCATTAAAATCCAATGGTTCAGATTTATCTAGTTTAATGAAGGGTAAGGTGGTAATTACTTAATTTATTTAACAACTAAATTAAAAAAAAAGGCGGCCTCCGCCCTCCCCGCTGCGGCCTCCGCCCTCCCCGCTGCGGCCGCCTTTCCGGGAATTTTCTCCCGCCGTGGGTTTTTTGTCCCAGTTGGGATTTTGTGTCCCAATTCAGAGAGAGAGAGAGAGAGAGAGAGAGAGAGAGAGAGAGAGAGAGAGAGAGAGAGAGAGAGAGAGAGAGAGAGAGAGAGAACTTTTCCGGCGACGGCGGAGCATTTTCCGGCGACCAGAGACGGTGGTGGATGATTTTCCGGCAACAGTATTGAGTTCGTGATGTTTGTAATGTTTATATTACTATTTTGTATACATTGTAATGTTTGTCATGTTTGTTTGTCTAGTTTGTATACTTTATGTTATGATTTATACACTTTCTATTCATTGATTTGTATTTGTAACTTTTGTTATTCAAGTTTGTATACTTTTATGTTATGATTTGTATACTTTGTATTCATTTGTTTGTAATACAAGTTTACCAATCTGTATTGTAAGTAGTGATATTCTGTACGTGTAGTATGCTTTGTACTGTTTGTACTGTTTGTTTGTAATGTTTGTTTGCAATGTTTGTAATGTTTGTTATTTTGTAATGTTTGTAATGTTTGTTGGTTTCTTTTGTATTGTTTGTAATGTTTATTATTTTTGTCAACATGTTTGTCATTTTTGTCAACCATGTTTGTAATGTTTTTTGCATCACAAATCAATACATATAAAGTATACAAATTATTAGTACTTACAATACAAAGCGAAACATACTAAGAATACAAGCAAAACATACTAAGAATACAAACTGTCAAAGAAAAACATACTAAGAATACAAACTGTCAAAGAAAAACATACTAAGAGTACAAACTGTCAAAGAAAAACATACTAAGAGTACAAACTGTCAAAGAAAAACATACAAACCATACTGACATTTTGTACAAAAATACTAACAATACAAACTAATGTTACAAAACATACAAACTATACAAATCACTGTTCTTCCTTCAGATGACGATACGATGTCTCTCCACGCCGCCGTCGACTCTCTCTACTGCCGTCGTTACCTCTCTCTCTCTCCATCACCGCGCCGCTTCTATCTCCTCCATCGTCGTCGAAGCTCTCTCCGCCGCCTCTCTCTCCTCACCACCGTCTCTCTCTCCTCTGTTTTCCGACGAGTAGATCTACTTTCTCTCTCTCCAAGGCTGTCGCCTCTCTCTCCTCCAACGTAGCGGCGCCGCCATCTCTCTCTCCATCGACATCGTCGCCTTTCTCTTTCTCTCTCTCCTCCATCGGCGTTCGATCTCTTTCCCCCTCCGCCATGGCTTTCTTTCTCTCTCTCTGGACATCGCAGCAAAAACGGACGGGAAGAGGAGGAGACGGTTGCAGAAGGGAATCAGTAATTAATTAATAAAAAGGAAAAACAATTAGTGAAATTTTTTAATGCCAGAATTGCCCCTCCCAGTATTTAAAAATCCCTTCCCTAATATTCACCGTTAGATTGATCCTCCTACATCCAATGGCTAGGGGGGCTTAGCCAAGTGCTCAATTATTAAACCAACAATCACAACAATCTCAACTTTTAGTTGAGATTGTACAATCCCTCATTTTTGTTGATTGTTGGTGGGTCCCACACAAAACAATACATGCATTGTTTTGCAACTTGACACTTCCAAACATTGTATTGTGGACAATGCATGTATTTAATAAATACAACACTAACAATCGCAACTTCCAAACGACCCCTAGATAAATTAGAACCATCAGAATTTAATGAGGCTGGATGGCTGAGATTGGCTTAGTCATGTGACTAAGAAGACCCCCTTAGTCACCTGATCTTATCCCGGCTTTGCGTGGTCCACAATTAAGCTGGTTCAATTTCTCGACGTGTTTTGGTTGGAGGATACTTGTAGAGTGAGGTACTGTGTCCATGAAAGAATTTAGGGCTGGACAATCGGGTTCGGGTTAAATCGAAACCAAGCCGATAATTAGGTGTGTTGGTTTCAGGTTTTTGGGTCCAACCCAAAATATAGTGTAATGGTTTCATGTTAATAACCTGAAACCGATAAGAACTCGACACCCGAAGATAGACGAAGGCTTCGCAAATCCTACCCAGTTGCCATCCATTCGCCGCTAGCGAACAATCCAAGTCCAAGCTTTCCCTTCGAGACCCGCCCCATCCCTTTGCCGCTTTTTAGGTTTTTGTTACTGGGTTACTCTTTTATGTCGGCGAGCAGATGATCAACTTAGGTCTCTCCGATTTCCCTCTTTCAAATTGTTGGTAGCTTCAGGTGCTCTAGGAGCGAGGCTCAGTTTGTTTCATAGTTTGAATTGACGATGGATGATTTCTCACCTGCACCTCGCCGCCAATGGGATGAATCACCGGTTAGATCGGCTCTTTTGCGTGTAATTCTTAGATTTGGGCAGCATTGCTATTGTCAACACCATCGTTGCTTGGGTGTGCTATTGTGGGCGTGTATTCTTCTCGATAGATTCTCTCCGACCAGTTCGTTCGAAGTGGGGAAAGCATGCAAACGGGCCTCGTGTCCGGCGATGAACGAAAAAAAAGATGAAGGAAAGTCACATTCCCCGACCGGTGAGGGGCGCCACAAGGATTCTTCGCCGATTGCTACAAGGATTCCATCGTAAATTCAAGCTTTGAAGACCAACTTTTCGCTCCTTCACCTTGAGGCCATCCGGTGCTTGCCGATTTTTGGGGCGGCAATTGGAAATTGAGGCTACCTATCTTCGTGGGGGAACCAATACAACAAGAAACTCAGTGATTGCCAAGACTCGGACCGCGGGAGGGAGTGTAAGTAGGGGTGTTCAAATGGTTACCATGGTTATTACCAAACCAAATAAAGCTAAATTTCATTAACCATGTAATACAATATCATAACCAAACCGTTCAAACTAATACAACAACCAAATTAACCAAACTAAAGTTTAATTGGTTTGGTTAATTGGTTAACCAGATTAACCAATATAAAATCGCATGCCTCACCTTCAACCATCACTTTGCTCCACCAACCTAATCTAAATCGATTTGTAATCTCTTTTGTCCCCCAACCCCCTTCATTGAGAACCAAAGATCCCCTCCCTGGTCTTCCCTGTCCTTTTCAGCTCCTGTCGTCCATTAGCCGTCCCTGTTCATCTTCCGAATCAGAACTTCAAGCAAATTTAATCATGGAAGACAACACCTTTATCCAATCCCAGGTTCCTCTTAGCCCTGATGCCTATCTCGATCAGGGGCTACCTGTTTCATCTTCTGTCACTCTAAGCGACCTTCCATCACCTTCCTGCTCAAAAGAAGACGAAGATACAGAATGGAATATGGAAAATTACCCCTTTGATTATCTGACGTTAGTCGAAGCGAGCATAAACCTGAGTAGAATTTTCTCTCTGGAGAATGATGAAGGTGAAGAAAAAGCAGAAGGGGCGATTATTGAAACTGCTAAAGATATGCATCGTAAAAAGGTGAGAACTCCACGTTCCAGACTTGAAATGGAAAAGCACAGACTTGGACCTCATTTCTCTCCTCCCAAAGGTCCGAGAAAGAGTGCTAGCAGGTTGGACAGATCCTCTCAATCTTAGTCTCATGGGTGTTTCAATCATATTCTGGAACTGTTTCCTCGGAAAAACCAAATGCCACCGCCGGTGCCGAATTCGTTCCCGGCGATGTTGATTTGATGTTTCGCAGTGGAAACTCTTGCGGTGCCGATTGAACGGATGCACCACTATTTTCTGACCAAATACCACCGCCGGCGTGCCAAACGACGATGTTGATTTGATCGAATTAATGCGCCACTGACTTCTAATCAAGACGACTGTGACTACGGTTCACACCTCTCCAAACTACGTTCGA